AGAACGTCCCAAAGGTGTCCTTTTTTTTCCAAGAGGCAACTGGACTTTCTGCTTTTTCTTTGAAGACGTTTCGCTTCTCATTCAAGAAGCTTCTTCAAATGTCTTCAAAGAAAAGGCAGAAAGTCCAGTTGCCCCTTGGAAAAAGCACCTGTGAGACAACCTTTCCTGCATGACTGAGAATCCCCATAGATACGAAGAACGGTTGCAGGATTTGGGTCTGGCCAGTCTAGAGAAAAGGACCGGGGGGGGGGACAGGGGAGCATCTTCCAATACTGGGGGCTGCCACAGAGAAGAGGAGGGGGCCCACCGATTTTTCAAGGCAACTGAAGGCAGGACAAGAAGCAACGGAGGGAAGCTAATGTAGGAAGGGAACATGGAGAAGTTACCCAGACCGTATTACCACTAAAAGAAAAACCTTAATTTCAGAAATAAAATCATTAGAAGTTTCTAGGGCTGTGATGGCGAACCTGTGGCACCTGTGCCGCAGGTGACATGCGGAGCCATTTGTGCCGACTTGTGAGCTTCAGGCAAACTTACCTCACTGCGCATGGACGCGCCTCACAGCTGATTTTTGGCAGGTTTGAGGCCTTTTTCGGCCTCCCAGAGGCTTCGGGAAGGCTTCTGCAGGCTTTACAGGCCGAAAACTACGCCTGTTTCATCACTTCCTGTTTTTCCAGAAATACCCAAAGTGATGAAATAGGCCTAGTTTTTGTCCTGCAAAGCCTGCAGAAGCCTTCCTGAAGCCACTGGGAGGCTGAAAAGGGCCTCAAACTAGCTGAAAATCAGCTGTGAGGCGCAGTGCAGGTAAGGAGGTGGGTGGGTGGGGATTGCGCACACCTGCGTAGGGGACATGGGGGGGGGGGGGCGTGCATTGCTTTCTGGGTGCTGGACACGAGCATGCAAGCACATGCACAATTTTTGGCACAGGAGCCCCGAAAGGTTAGCCGCCACTGTTCTAGGAAAAGATAAACTGCAGCTAAGTACTACTTAAATTACAGGAAACCGCAGCTCCAAACATATTGAAAATAAGAAACCATTTCAAAGTCAGCACCAAACTGCAGCACCAAGCATATTAAAATAGAAAGCCATTTAAGAGTCAGCATTAGAATAGAGAACCATTAAAAAATCCCTATAGAAGCAGGTGGCCCAAGAGGGAAAACAAAATAGAGTAATGAAAACATTCCAATTTAGTAAAAGGAGAAACGGGAAATGCAGGTGCCGGAGTGAAAGACGGCCACAAGGACAAGCTGGAAGCAAACAGGACGGTGCTAAAGATAGATGACAAACACAAATAGCGGCTTTTTGAAACACACGTGGGACAAATAGGAGATTAAATTATAAACAGAATTGAACACCGGCACAAGCACTTCCTTGCCGGCCCTCCGGACAGGGGAATCGCAAAGAGCAGAACAGGAACGGAGCCATTAAGCCCAGGAGCGGCACAAAGCTACGGGAATCAGAATTCAAAGGGGAAAAGGGTATGAAATCATCCAGTTACTCACCGTTTAGACCAGGGGTGTCCAACCTTGGCAACTTTAAGACTTGTGGACTTCAACTCCCAGAATTCCTCAGCCAGCGTAGGTCAGTTTTGGGCTTGACACCAGCAGAGACTGGAGGGGGCTGAGCCGGGGGAGAGGGGGGAATTAGGCTGCAGCCATCCACACCCTGGAAGGGAGGGAGGAAGCGCCATTTTTTGCTGGACCTCTGTGATGTCTGTCTTTAAACTTGGCAACTTTAAGACTTGTGGACTTCTGGGAGGTTGAAATCCACAAGTCTTAAAAGGTGCCAAGTTTGGAGGTCCCTGGATTCTGACCTAGGGTTTTCTCCTCTTCTTCTTGGCTTCTCAGCTGGGGGAGACCTGGTTCATCGATGAGTCCTGCCAAGACCGATGCACCTGCGAGCCCAACAGCGTCATCACGTGCGCCTCGTGGCAGTGCGGTGCACAGGAGACTTGCGCTGTTCAGGACGGAGTGCTGGGGTGCTACAACAAGGGTGAGTTCAGCACGTTAGACTGGCCGATGTTTCACGCCGGGCAGGATCGAGAATTGACAGAACTGCCGGCCAAATCAGCCTGCCTGGCATTTCAGGGGCACCAAGGAGGCCTTCCAATACAACAAAGCAATTCCTTAGAAGCGTCCGAGAAAGGTGTGGTTTGGTCCTGGCCACACCAGGCAGACTTGGTACATGGAGAGGGGAAAACCAGAGAGATGAACTGAATAGCAGAGTTGGAAGGGACTTTGGAGGTCTTCTAGTCCAGCCCCCTGCTCAAGAAGGAGGCCTTATGTACCATTCCAGGCAAATCTTTGTCCAATCTTAAACGCCTCCCATGATGGAGCCCCCACAACCTCTGGTGGCAAGTTGTTCCACTGATCAATTATTCTCACCATTAAGAAGTTCCTCCTTATTTCTAGGTTGGGTCTCTTCCGTCCATTGTCTCATGTCTTGCCTTCTGAGGCGAGAATAGGTTGCCCCCCCGTTTTGCGGCAACCCCTCAAATATTGGGAGACTGCTGTCATGTCTCCCCTGGTCCTTCTTTTCATCAGAGTAGACCGTTCCCGCAACCGTCCGTTGTACGTTTCAGCCTCCAGTCCCCTAATCTTCGTCGTTGCTCTTCTCTGCCCTCTGGCTAGAGTCTCAACATCTCCTTTATATCATACCAAAACTGGATGCAAATATTCCCAGCGTGGCCTCACCAAGGCCTTGTAAAGCAGTATTAACAGGTCACGTGATCTTGACTCTCTCCCTCTGTTAATGCAGCCTAGGATCGCATCGGCTTTTTGGGCAGCCACGACCCACGGCTGGCTTCTCATTTAAGTGAGTGCCAAGAAAACCTGGAATTAATTTATGCCCCCTTAAGCTAACCCCAATCCCTCTGCGTCTTGCAGGCCGGGCCTCGTGCCACGTGGTGGGAGATCCCCATTATTACACCTTTGACAAAGTGATGCACACCTTCCTGGGCACCTGCCTGTACACCCTGGTCACTGCTTGTGACACCAGGAGCCTCTGCACCGTCACGCCCTTCAACATCACGGGGAAGAATGAGGACCGGGGCCTACGAGGAGCCACCTACCTCCGGGAGGTCCATGTGGATGTGTACGACCTACGGATCACGCTCCAGAAGGACAAGAAGATTCTGGTACAGAATCTGGGCCCCGGGCTGCCTTCAGACCCCCGGTTTCTTTTGTCCGGGCTTCAGTTTAGCGGAGGGGTCTCCAACCTTGGACACCCCTAGTTTAGGGGCTGACCAGTTCTCCATTTATAGCCATGGTTTGAAGTCTATCCTCGTTCCTAGGGATTTTCCAGGGTTATCCAATCCTTTGGGAAGAGCTGAGTCCAGGTAGTCCTCAACTTACAACCACAATTCAGGCCAACATTTCTGTTGCTAAGCGAGACATTTGTTAAGCGAGCTTTGCCCCGTTTGATAACCTTTCTGGCCACCGTTGTCCAGTGAATCCTTGCCGTTGTTAAAGTTAGTGACATGGTTGTTAAGTGAATCTTGACTTTGCTGGGAGAAGGTCTCAAAAGGGGATCACACGATCCCAGGGACACTGCAACCATCATAAATAGGAACCAGTTGCCAAGCACCTGAATTTTGATCACATGACCCCGGGGATGCCGCAATGGTTGTAAAGTGTGAAAAATGGCCATAGGCTGCTTTTTTTCAGTGCCACTGTAACTTTGGTCACTGTTGTGAGTCAAGGGGTGCCGGTCGTTCCGCCGCCCGGGGCCGGGGGGGGGGGGGCCTGCTGCTTCAATCCCAGGCCTGACTCTTCACTCTCCCTCCGCAGCTCAACAAGGTGAGAGCCTACACACCGGTGGAGAGCCGCTCCCAACGGAACTTGGTGACGGTGTCGAACGTTGGCAGTTACATGGTGGTGGAAACCGACTTTGGGCTGCTGGTGAAATACGACGGGAACCAATACTTGGAGATCAGCCTGCCGAGCTCCTACTCCTCTCAGGTGAGTCTCAGGTGGAATGCAGGTGCGAGGCTGGGCTCCCCCAGGGCTCTGCGGCTCCGACTTCTGCTCACTGTGGTTGGAGCTCCTCCTCGGACCGACCGATGGTCTTCGGAGTGACACTCAAGACCTTCTGACCCAGGAAGAGCCGGCCGAGGACTTCGAGGGGATTCCCTTCATTGACCAGTCCTCCGCCAGACGACCACCAGAGACCCTCTGCTTCGGATAAAAAGGGACCCCGTGGAGATATCACCTGGTCCTCATTCGTAACAGTCCCAAGGCTGCTTTCGCCAACTGGTTGTTTTCCTTGAAATCATTTCGCTTCTCATCCAAGAAGCTTCTTCAGTTCTGTTTGTTTGTTTGTCAAACAAAAAATTACAAATTCAAATGAACAAAATGGAAAAACTTAAAACTAAAAAAAAAAAATTATTATTATATAATAACAAAAAATAAGAAAATAAGAAAAACTGTACTCAGAGTGTGCCTCCCACCAATGAAGCCCCCACTCTAAATACACCCAGTTTCTTGAAGCATCAACGGGCTAAGAGGATGGGTTGGCACAGCGTCTTCAACTGCCCTGGCCCTCTGCGGTCAGCCTATCCCCTTGCACCCCTAGAAGAGACTCCCGGTAGCTCAGGGTTGAACTGCGGGGCCCTGGGGGCTCTCTGGGCTTGGGGGTTTCCTTGCAGACGTTTCATGACCCAACTAGGGAACATCATCAGGGCTAGAAGATGGGGGAGGACTGTGGGATCCTTGGTGCTATCTGAGATTGGTTGGGGGTTTTTTTTTTGCAGACGTTTCATGACCCAACTAGGGAACACGATCAGGGTTCTATCTAATTGGGTAGTGAAGCATCCCATTGTGCTGCATGGAAAGATGGCGCTGCTGTTGATTAGGGTTTGTATTTTGAACCTGCGGCCCCGGGACTCACGTAAGCCCCGCTCTGATCTCCAGGTGCGTGGCCTCTGTGGGAACTACAATGGCCAAGACAGAGATGAGCTGCTGATGCCCAACGGATCCCAGGCCAAGAACGTCACTCAGTTCGGGAACAGCTGGAAGGTGGATGACCCTGAAGACGCAAGGTGTGTGTTCCAGGGGTGGGAGCCTACCCGCTTTGGACCGGTTCTAGAGAACCGGTGGTGACAATTCTGCGCAGTTTGGAGAACTGGCAAAAGGTGCCCCTGGTTGGCCCCGCCTCTCTCTGCTCGCCCCTCCCCTCCCCACCCCGTCACTCCTTAAGGGATTTCGGGCTTTTTTTCCCCCTCCCGATGATTTTCATCTCTTCCAACAATCAGCTGTGCCAGGTTCCCGCTGGCTGTCTTACTGCTTCACCCAGGAGCCTCCCTGGGGCCCCTGAGGCCAAAAGGGGGACGCTTCCGGGGAGCAGAAACGCCCCCCTCCCCCCACGAGGCTTCCCTGAGGCCCAGGAGGCCCAAAAAACGGAGCCCAGGAGGGGGTGCTGCAAAAAAGCCACGTCCAGCCAGTCACATGGACAAGCCCACCTAGCCACACCCACCTAGCCACGCCCACAGAACCAGTTGTTAAAGGATTTGAACCCCACCCGAGGTGTCCCCCTCCTGGGCTATCATTCATTCATTCATTCATTCGTTCATTCATTCGTTCATTTCTACATCAGTGGCCCCTGACTCCAACTCATAATACAGTTGTAACTCGGTTGTAAAACATTTTGGGGCGGCCGGTTGGGGGTGCCCCCCCTTTCCCGCTTCGTCTCGGGTCCCCTAGCCAATCCCTCCCCTGCCATGCCTGCCTTCCTTGCAGCTGCCTGCCAGACACCCGCCCAGAGCTGGGCCCCCCTTGTGCCCAGGGCGACCTGCCCTCCGTGGAGGAACAGTGCCAGGTTCTGGGATCCAGCGCCTTCGTCCCCTGCCACCCGCTGATAAAGCCAGACCTCTTCATCCAGACCTGCGTCTACGACATGTGCAAGTACGACGGGATGCATTCCACCCTGTGTGCCGTGGTGCAGGCCTACGTGGACGCCTGCCAGGCCAAGGGAGTGCCCGTCCAGTGGAGGAACAGCACCTTCTGCCGTAAGCAGCGGGGGGGGGCGTCCAGGGAGGAAGCGGGAGGGAGGCGGAAGAGGAAAGGCGGGCAGAGGTGGGCAGAGGGTTGCCTGGGCCGTGTGCCAGGGAGGGAGAAGTGGCAGCAACGTGCCTGGCCTGGCAAGCGCTCTTCCGCAGCAGCGGCTCCATCTCCTGGGCCTGGCATAGCCACCCCCACACCAGCCACACCAGCAGGGGAGGCCTGCAGTGGGCCCCGTCGGCCAGGGGGGTTCGGCTGGAGAGAGAGAGAGTGTGTGTGTGTGGCCTTCTCTGCTGTGGCTCCGCCCTCTGGAATATCTTGCACCCGGAGGTGAGATCGGATCCCACCCGCCTGACCGAGCTCCGCCAGGGGGCCCAATGGGGGAGCTTCATACTGCGGGTGGTGGGCTAAGTAAGAGTTAGCCCTCCTCCCCTCGACTTACCACACCTTCCTTTAGTGACCGCTAGAAGTTAGAACAACACTGAAAAAAGTGACATGGCTGTTTTTCACACTTATGACCGTTGCATTATCTCACCTGATCAAAATTCAGGCGTTTGGCAAGTGACTCATAGTTAAGACGGTTGCAGTGTCCCGGGGTCGTGTGGTTCCCTTTTGCGACCTTCTGGCGAGTAAAATCCATGGGGAAGCCCGATTGGCTTAATGGCCGTGTAACTGCCTTAACAACTGCAGTGATTCACTTAGCAACCGTGGCAAAAAAACGGTTGCAAAACGGGGCAAAACTCCCTGAACGACTGGCTCACTTAGTGGTGGAAGTTTTGGGCTCCGTCATCTCTGGGGGCTTTTAAGAGGAGGCTGGACAGCCACCTGTCTGGAATTGGACAGGTGTAGGATCCCCCGCCTGAGCGGTGGGGGGGGTTGGGCTAGAAGACCTCCGCGGTCCCTTCCAGCTCGACTGAGTGCATGTTTGTGTTCGGTGACTTGAACGGGTGTTGTAAGCTGGCCGGAGTCGCTTAGAGACGAGGGCCCAGCGAAGAAACCCCCCCCCGTAAGAAAGGAAAGCCTGGCTAACCGGCCCCTCCCTCTTTCCTCCCCTCCAGCGCTGCCCTGCCCGCCCAACAGCTTCTACTCCCCCTGCGCCCCTCCCTGCCCGCCCACCTGCAGCAACATCTTCGCGGGGGAGCTGTGCGAGAAGCCCCCCGGCGGGGAGTGCCTGGAGGGCTGCGTCTGCCAGCAGGGCTTCGTGCTCAGCGACAGCCAGTGCGTGCCCCTCGGCCAGTGCGGCTGCCAGGACAAGGACGGCCGGTACCACAAGGCAAGTGGGGGCCCCTCCTGCCTGCAGGGGAACAGGGCCCCATCTCTGGCCCCAGCTGCCCGGCCTTGGGGCGGCGAGCCACGGCGGGGCCCGGCAGCAGCCCCGCAAGGCCGCGGAGGGGGGGGTTCCCTCGGGGCCCGGGGCCCTTCCCTAAGCCCAGGCCGCGCTCCTTTCGGCAGATCGGGGAGAGCTGGCTCACCCCCCACTGCAGCCAGAAGTGCCGCTGTCGCAGGGGTGGCGCCATCAAGTGCCAGGACTTCGGCTGTGAGCCCGGGGAAATCTGCCAGAGCAAGGAGGACGGGAAGCTGCACTGCAAACCCACAGGTACCGCTCAGGGACGCTGGCTGTGGGGAAGGGGGGGGTGATGGAGCCTTTTGGGGGGGGGGGGGGGGCAGCCGGGGTTCAGCTGGGAAAGACCCAGGCAGGCCAGTGAAGGAGAAGACGCGTAGCCGAGGCTGGAACCGAGGGGTCAGCTTCGTGCTTTGGACTCACTGCCACTGATGACATCACCCACTTGGGTAATGAAATGTCTGCCGTCCAGCTCCGGGAGTTCCCCCTCCTCCTCCTCCTCCTCCCTTCTACCCCTGGGGACGTTACCCCACAAGGGAGGGGCCCCTCAACCCAGGCGTCACCCAGGAGAACCTTCAGTCCCGCCCCGTCCACTCCATGGAGCCTTCGCAACCCAAGACCGGCCCAGGCGTTTCCCACTGAGCAGCCGCTGGCCAAACTGGTCCCACGAAGGGAGCTTGGAGCCTGGAGAGCAGACCCTGGGCCGGTGAGGGTGCAGGAGCCGCTAGCTGATCTCGCTTTCCCCCTCCTCTCCCCCTCCAGGATTTGGCAAGTGCCTGATCACAGGAGACCCCCACTACCTGACCTTTGACGGCCTGCTGCACCACTTCCAGGGGCTGCACTCCTACGTGCTCACCCAGACCCGGCCCGGTGCCTCCGAGCGCCTGGAGCCGCTCAGCATCGAAGGGACCAACCGGCTGGCGAGGGGCTCCGGCCAGCCCTCTCTGCTGAAGGAGCTGCGCATCCGCGTCTACAACCACACGGTGGTCTTCAGGCAGCGGAAGAAGCTGGTGGTGAGGGCCCTGCCCGGTTTCCCTGGCACGACGGCAGCCGTGAGCCTGGGCGCTCCCGGGCACTCTCTGCCCGGGGGGCCTGGCAAGCCGCCTCGCCCGCTGCAGCTCCACGGGGCTCCCGGCTCTGGGCGTGGAAGCCCTCCAGGCTTAAAGGGGCCACGGTTGGAGGCTTCCAATGGTCACTACGTGATGGACCCCCCACTGCTTCCCTCCTTTTCACAGGCATCACATGTTAGGGATGCACCCTAGCAGAATCTGCACGGCAGTCAGGCAGGCAGGCAAAATATGTGAGATAAACGTTTTTGTAGCTTACACTCAGTAAAACAGATACACTGTGCTAGTTAAATAGTTTATTCCAGCAAGAGTTTTAGCATAGTCAAAAACAGTCCATATATCATTCACTAGTTCAGTCCGTCCGGGGATTATTCAGTTGCAAAGTCCAGTGTTGAAAAAGAGATCAGTAAACTTACAAATATCAGTCCAGTAATATATCTCCTCGCAGTAGAGATATGAAGAAGTCAAAAACTCCTCTCTTCCTTCAGCAACTCAGCAGTAGGGGAAACACGCAGGTAACAAACCATCAATCCATGCAATCCAGTAATTGTCAGGGAATCGTCAGGTTCTCTTGCTCCCTCTTATGGCGGTTTTACACCGCACCCAAAATTACATGCTTTGCAGTTTTAAAGTGACACACACTTAAACTTACAATCATAGTTTATATATATTATTTTACCCAAACTACGTTAGGTAACCTATGTTATCCCTAACAGGGGTCCATTACAACAGCAGGGGGGGAAAGCGACTGACGACCATTTTTCACCCCTGTGATCATTGCAGCGTCCCCATGGTCACGTGATCAAAACCCGGGGGCTCGGCAACTGGCACGTACTTATGACGGTTGCTGAGCCCCCGATGCTGCCTTTGGAAAGCGAAGGCCATGGGCGCTCTCTCTTTCCCCCACGCCAGGTGGACGGAGTGGCCACTGAGCCCCCGGTGAGGCCTCACGAGGGGCTTCGCATCCAGCAGAGCGGAAGGCAGATTTACCTGGAGTCCGACTTCGGCCTTACAGTCAGCTTTGACGGCTTGGAGAATTCAGGTGAAGCAGCTGCAGCGGCCGGGGGGACGGGGGGGGGGGCTGGCATGGGGGGGGGGGAGGAGGGAAGCCATCCAAAGAAGACCAGGGACCTCCCAGAGCTGCCCTGGCGGTTCTGGCTTGGAGGAAATCATGAAGGGGGGGGGCTGGATTGGCCTGGGAACTCGGGGATCCCATCACAGCCGCATCCAACCGAACGAAGAACGGCTGCAGGGAGGAATTGGGCATGGCCGGTCCAGGGAAGAGAAGGACCAGGGGAGGCAGGAGAGCCGTCCTCCAATATTTGAGGGGCTGCCCCAGAGAGGAGGAGGAGGAAGGGGTCAAGTTACTTTCCAAAGCACCTGAGGGCCAGCGGTGGGATTCAAAAGAATTTACTGCCAGTTCTGTGGGCGTGGCTTGGTGGGAGTGGCAGGGGAAGGGCCCCACTGACCTGCTTTCCAGCTCCGTTCTCCTGGGCAGGGCAACCAAAGGAGACCCAGCCTTTCAGCTGGGGCTCAATGGGAGGCAGAGAAGAGGTGGGGTTGGCCGGTTCTCCGAACGACTCAGAATTTCCGCTACCGGTGGTTCTCCAGAACCGCTCAGAACCGACGGAATCCCACCTCTGCTGAAAGCAAGAAGAATGGAGAGGAGGAGAGAAGCAACCTGGAATTTAGGAGAAACTTGCAAACAGTGAGGACAATGAACTGGTGGAACGGAAGTTGTCTCCAGAAGTTGTGGTTTTTAGGAAGAGACTGGAATGGGATAGGATTGGGCTGGCGCAGGAGGCTGGACTAGAAGACCTCCGAGGTCCCGCTCAACTCTTTTCTGTCATTCTACCCCTCCCCAGGCATCCTGCTACCCAACAGCTACCGAAAGAACCTGGAAGGCCTCTGTGGCAACTTTGATGGGAAGTACAAGAACGACTTTGCCAAGCCAGATGGCACCCCGGTCAGAGATGTGAACACCTTCGGGGAGAGCTGGCGAGTGCCACTCAAGAGAGGCGCCTCCCGCCTCAGGTAGGGGCCCCTGAAGGCAGCCCCAGCCCCAGCGCTGCCCCTTCCAGAGCAGGCCGAGCCCCCCTTGGCAGGACCACCGCAGCCCCCTCCCACCTGCAACACCTCCACCTGCCAGGACCCCTCCGCCCAGAGGAGGGGCGGCAGGATCCCCGGTCCTGTGACTGGACAGGAGCCTCAGCCGGGTTACGGAATTAACCCGCCTTGGCGATGTGGGCAAGCGGAGGCCTGCCCTACAGTGGAATCCTAAAATCCACTTAAGGGGTACTAGAGGCCATCTAGCCTGACCCCCTGCTGCAAGCAGGAAACCAGCATGCCTGGCAGACGCCTCTGCTGGACTCATCCGGTCAATGGGAGCTTCCCATCTCCCAGGGCGCCGGGTCCTCCTTCCAAGTGAAGGACTCGGCCCAGCCCTCCGGCTGCCTCCCTCTCCCAGTTACTCCCTGGAGCCGGCCAGTCCAAGGACCCCCCGCTGTCTGCAGCGGAGCGGGACTCTGTGCCAACGAGTCTGGCCCACTCCAGACCTTCTGGGCCCGACACACTTCCTGCCTCACCTGTTCTGGTCAAGGTCAAATTCTTTCCCCTCCTTGGGATGGGCGTAGCTGGGCAGCCCGAAGCCCTGGGCGCCTTTCCGGCTGCTCCTGCGGGCCGTGCCCCTTCCTCCGAGGGACCCTGCCACGCCTTTTCCCCCCCAGGCGAGACGCCATCGCTGCCGAAGAAGCCCTGGAGGAGGCTGAGCTGGACGTGGGATTTTTGCCCCTTTGCTCCGAAGAGGACATGAAGGTGCACAGCGGCCCCTCCGCCTGCGGCGTCCTGGCGGACCCCAAGGGCCCCTTCCAAGGCTGCTTGGCCCACGAGACCCCCGACCCCTTCGTGCAGTGAGTGCCGCTTTCTTCTCCCACCCCACTGCATCCCCTGTGGGGCCAGGAGGCTTTTTGAGGGGAGGGTCCAGGTCTGCCCATTTACGGGCTGGAGTGGAAGAGCAGGGGGAGCGGATCGTGCCCCTCGCCCCCCCCTCCTTCTTCTGGGGGAGGGACGGGTGCTAACTTTCTCCCCTTTGCAACCTGCCCCCGGCGTCTCTTCCGCTGCAGGAGCTGCGTGTTCGACATGTGCAGAGAAGCCAACCGGACCACCAGCCTATGCCCCATCCTGGACCAGTACGCCAGCCTCTGCCAGGGCAAGAACGTCTCGCTGGCCGACTGGAGGGCAGCGACCGGCTGCGGTGAGCACCAGCTTCCTCCTCCTTCGGGGGTGCCCCCGGGAGGAAGGCTGGGCCTGAAGCCGGCAGGATCCCCTGGCCCGACCCCCCCAGGGTGCTGGGGGCCCCCTCCTGGGGCTGGGGGGCTGGGCTCCCCAGGGTGGGAGGAGGGCCCAGACCAGGCAGCGCGTCTCTGCTCCCTCCGCAGGTCTCCAGTGCCCGCCCCACAGCCGCTACAACCCCTGCATGTCGGCCTGCCCCCCGTCGTGCTCAGACCTGGCGGCCCCTGCCAGCTGCAGCTCCCCCTGCCTGGAAGGCTGCGAGTGCGAACCTGGCTACGTCCTGAGCGGCTACGACTGCGTGCCCTTCCGGGACTGCGGCTGCAGCTTCTTGGGCAAATACTATAAGGTAGGCCCCCCCCCCCCCCCCCCCCCCCCACCCCACCCCCGTGGGGGGGGGGCGCCCGCCGCGCCCCCCGCCCCCCCCAGACCCAAACTGGGGACGGACAGAAGCAAACGCCTGTGTTTACGCTCAGGGATGCTCAAAATCCGAGGCGTGAATGTGGAAACGATCAGGCACACCCCTTCCTTGGGCCTTACCCAGACCTGGGGAGCAGGGGGCTCACGGGGTCAGGATGCCGGGTTGGAGGTTAGCCAGGCCACAGTCGAGACCCAAGGGCTGCCAGAGGGCAGAGGGAGCCCCTGTGCTTTGCTCCAGCTCCGCCGGGGACATGAAAGGAGCCCCCAAATGGGCAGGCAACGATCGTGTCGCCAGCTAAGCTTTTCAACCCGGAAGCACCTTAGTGCTTTCAACACCGGTTATCATCGTCTTTTAACAACCCCATAATCCCCTGCGGAGTGGAATCTGGGCCACTGAATGGAGCTAGCGGTGTGTTTACTGGCCAGACGCCCTTCCTGTCCCCAGTGAGGAGGTTTGTTCAGCAGATACATTCTCAGGGCACCCAGAGAGAAAAATACCTACCTCTACCCAGGATCAAACTCCCCGTCCCCCGATTGTGAGGCGAGAGCTCTGCCTCCAGGTCCCCACCGCAGCCCTCCTGCTTTCGACGCCAGTGAGGCAGGGCCCAAATACATCAAGCCCCCCGAAAAAACATCGCAGGCTATTCCTTCTCCTCCTTATTCTGACCACCGCTGCAGGACCCTAAGCCAGAGCAGACCTTCTTCGCACAGAGAAGACCCTCCCTCCCAATGGCCTAGAGCGGTGGGGGGGCTCTTCTCCTTCGCAGTCACAAGCAGGCTGAGCTGAAATCGGCCCTCAGCCCCACTGCTGGTCCAGTTGGGCGTGTGCCTCCGCTGGGGTGCCCCTGGGGGTGAAGTGGCGGGGAGTCCCAGTTCATCCCCTGCTCCCGCTTTCTCGACCAGGCTGGCGACCGCTTTATGGCCGAGGACTGCAGCCAAAACTGCGTCTGCCGGGACAGCTCCAGCCTCTCCTGCCAGGAGGCCGGCTGCCCCCAGGACCATCGCTGTGGGATCTTCAACTTCACCCGGGGCTGCTATCGTGGTGAGTGTTCGGGGGGGGGGGGGATCGGGGGGGGGGGCAACTGCTGAGCAGCAGGCAGGCGGGCAGGCGGGTGCTCTTCGGCCCTGTTGTAGGTGGTGCAGTGGTTAGAATGCAGCCTCGCAGGCAAACTCTGCCCACTGCCAGAGGTTCGGTCCTGACCTGCTCAAGGTTGACTCACCCTTCCATCCTGGCGTAAAATGAGGACCCAGATGGTTGGGGGAAAGAGGCTGACCCTTTCAACTGCTTAGAGGGCTGTCAATGCACTGTGAAGCGGCCTATAAGTCGAAGGGCTGGCGCTTCCTGTCCCAAAGGGACACCGGCCCCTTGTAGCCATTGTCACCCCGGCCTGAGGGTCGGGGGCTGCCCCAGCTGGGAAGGCAACCCGTTTCCAGGCCCCCCCCGTGTTTCTCCTTTCTGCTGCAGCCAACCCCTGCCAGCCAAATTCATGCTTCAACAATGGGACCTGCGTGTTGGATGAGAGCCCAGATATTTTCCACTGTGAATGTCCGGAGAATTACGAAGGATTACTCTGTGAGATACAAGTCACGCCAGCAGGTAAATACACACACACACACATACCATCCAGGGCTTTATTTAGCGTGTCACACAGGCCTCTTGTCCATCCCAGACATTGTTTCCACTCCAGAGCAGAGCACATCGGGCCCACGTTTTTAAGCCGTCCTATGTGGGTGCTGGCTGTTCTCTTGGTGCCCCCGAAGAGAGGAGGGGTAGCTGCATGAATGAGGGGTGCTTGGGGCTCTCTGAACTTGGCGGTTTTCTTGCAGAGGTTGCATTACCCAAGCTAGGTAACATCATCAGTGCAGTGGGGTGAAAGCAAACCTCCCTCCTTTCTAGCACTGATGACGTTCCCTAGTTGAGTCATGAGACGTCTGCAAGAAAACCATCGAGGGCAGAGACCACCAAGGAGCCCTCAATTCAGCTACAAGGCTACGAAGCTCCTCCTTTATTGGAGACTATCAAACAACTTCTCAGCCTGGTCTCCAGGCAGCCCTCAGGTCTCCGGGGGGCTGGGGGTCATCCAGTCCTTTCCTAGGTTGGTCGAAGGGCTGAATGCTGCCCCTCAGGGCAGGAACCTTTAGCCAGCCTTCTGCTCCCTCCAGGGCCAGGAACACGGGGGTGGGGGGTGGGGTGATCAAATGAACCCATTTTCTGGGCTGGTTCATTAAACCAGAGTTTGGCCCAGACCAGCCGAGCTTTGCAGCCCCATGGAGCCCAAAGGCGTTACTGGCCCGAACTCTGCCAGTCCTCCCCCCCTTGCGGCCATTGCCACCCCAGAGGGAGGGTTGGGGGCCGGCACAGCCGGGAGGGCAACCCGTTTCCAACCCGGCCTTCTCCTTTCCTGGGCAGCCGACCCCTGCCAGCCCAACCCTTGCCTGCATGGTGGAACCTGCGTGCGGGGCAACAGCAGCTCCGAGGGCTTCCACTGCGAATGCCAGGAGAAGTACCAGGGGAAACGCTGCGAGGACCAGCCAGAAGGTACACAGGTTCTCCTTGATTGGAAAGGGGGGCCCTCTCCCCCCCCCCCCCAGGCTTTAGCGAGCCTTCTGCTCCCTCCAGGGCCGGGAGCGGGTCCCGGTGACCGAACAGACCCGGTCTCTGGGCTTGCACACCGCCCCCAACCCCCAGCCATCCCGGCCAATGTCGCCTTTGCCCGGAGCAGCCGAGCTTTGCGCGCTGAGTGGGCCCATCGGCCCCTTCTCTC